CGTCGCCATGGCAACCTGGCAGGCCGCGGCGCCCCTGCACCTCCAGCAGCGGGAGTTAAATAGTAAGAAATGACAAATAACAACAGCAAAAATTGCAGTAATAATACTAAGTAATAGAAAAACTTTTTTTTACGACTTGCAAATGTTTCTCTCATGTCATTTACGGCCAAATAAGGGAGGGGGAAGTAGAGGAAAAGGGGCCCCCACTCTTTAGGCCCGCTGAAGCGCCGCCATTTCCCCCGCGCGGTGCCTGTGGCAGCAGCAGCACCCGGCGGGCTCGCGGGAGCTTCTTTGCCCTCCTTCCCGTGGACCTGGAGCTCATATTTGCGGGTTTTGTTTGTTTGTTTCTTCCAGGAAGGACTTTTCTGCCATTCGGAGCGTGGAGGCGGGTTCCCGGCATCGCTGCGTACACCGCCAAGAGACGTTTCAGCAAGATCAGAAGCTGCCTCTCATTTTACGAAGCAACTCTGGGGGGAAAAGTGCCAGTGTAGCGCTTCTGTCCAGCCTGTAGATTTATCAAAAAGAAAAGTAAAAAGCACGTATATATAGCTTATATAGCTAGGTCCTGTACGTGATTTTCAGTATTGAAACTACTACTGCACATTTGAGCTCTTCCACAGAGAAAGAAGACTGAATTTTTAAACTCAGCTTAGAAGTAGGTCTTAAGCGTTAGCACTGTCTTTTTCTACAGATGGCTTGCTTATTTATTTAGAGGGTTGTCTTATATTGGGTTTATTGGCTTCCTGCAGTCTATAGAGTAGCCAAGGTAGGGGACAAACGGAATTTTTGACATTTTTTGCTTGCTTGAAACCAAAAGGAAAGTGGCATCTGCTTTCAGGGTTGCACACAAAAAAATGGGAGAGAGGATCTGCAGCGTTCCTGATCCCTACGTCTGCTCTAATATGTCAGTGACTCAAAGGGGATGAGGGCCAAGGGCTTATGGACAGCTATCATAAAGCAGAAAAAAAGTCCGACTCGCATTCGGTCTTTCTGGTTGCACAACAAATACCACAGCTTACCACTTCTAATTTTTCTTAAATTCTTGGTCCATGTGACCACTGTGTAGCTGTAAACTCTGCCAAAAGTAATGTGCCCTGTTAAAAAGCACTTCCACATGTTGCTTGTATATTCTGAGCTTTTCAGTATCATTGATGATGTATTCTAGTCAGAGAAGAATTAAACAGTTAGATTTTGTCTCCTTTTCAGATGACTGCGAATGTTCAGTGGTCCCTACTTGCATCCCAATCATTTTTTTCCCTACATTTTTGAATCTCCCTCCTTATTCCATCTGTCATAAGCTACATTTATGTTTCTTTGAGATGACTCTGAAACTGGAAGCAAGTGTTAAAAGAGCTCACTGGATGTCCCTCTTTGTAACGTTAAAAAAATAAGTTAGTTCTCTCTTATTATGTTAAATAAAGAAATTATGATATCTTCAGGTATGTGACAGAAACAGATGAAGGAAATTTGAACTATGCTAGCAAATTTGTGTCCCTTTAAAATAATATAGTTGCATAGATCTGTAGATCATGAACTCTGTATTTATTATATTTCCAGCAACTTTTAAATTTATATAACAATTTTGGAGAAAATCTTTTGATGAAATGCTGAGATATTTCAAGTTTTCATTTTAAATTTATTTTCCAAAGATTTTTCCTATGCAAACATACAGGCAGAAATGCATGATAGTACCTTTACAGAGGAAAAAAAATGGGATTCTGTCTGGATTCTCACCTTGAGCTTTCATATAAACAAAAAAAATCGGATGAGATACAAAGTTAAAAGCAGGGTGGTTAGAGAAGAAAAATATTGGGGAGTTGAGCAAATCACAGGCTTTCTCACAGCAGTGGATATCACCTGCAGTAAAAAGTTGTTTGTGAAGAAACTGTAATACATTGTTTTTGTTTTCCACTAAAACACATTAAAAATGCATCTTTTAGGTAGCATTTGACTATGCAGTATTTTGCTTAGCTGATAGACCCCAAGCTGTAACTGTGTGTTACTCAATCCTGATGCGGAGGCCAAGCAGTGACAAATGTACAAACAAGCAGCTGAGAGTCACGCTCAAAGATCATGTATGAACACGCTCATGTTCTGTGGAAATCAGGGATTCTTACACTGCAGCCGAGTGTTTTTGCTGCATTTGGGTCACTAATGCCTGAAAATGCTGCGTCTAAAAAAATTTACCTCTAAGAGCAGTACCTGGGGACACTCACACTTTTTTGCCCCCTCTCCCCACTCTTTTTTTTCTCAGTGAGTACCAAAGTCCCTGAGAGTACCTCGTAAAACCAGATACAGCAAGAGCTGTTATGACCTATATTGCAAAGAAGTGTGGTATTTGCTTCCAGCCTCCAGCCATCATCCTCATCTACAAGGAGGAAGACAAGGACAAAACTCGACAGCGTATCATGCCTATCCGAAATTTCTCCAAGTTCTCAGGTGTGTGCACTTGCATGTTCACAGCATGTCTTAGATCCACCCTATACACAGTAAAAGGAATGACTGGTTGGTAACAGACTTATTTTTAGTGTCTACTGGGCTGCTTTTTGCCAGCAGGAGCTGAGGAGCCCCAGGCTGCATCTTAACATGAGCAGCAGCACTGCTAAGTTGGGATGTCTTGTGTGTAAGGGCTTAGGAAAAGCAGATGTATTTATATAATGAGTTGCTTGCATCTGTAATTCTTTACACTGACCTTCTTTTTAGACTGTAGCAGAGCTGCTGAGCAGCTGAAGAATAACCCTCGGCACAAAGCTTACCTGGAAGGAGTCTCGCTGCGTCAGCTAGAGAAGTTCTATGGTTTGCTGAAAGGTCATTTGGGAGGACAGAGTCTAGCTGAGAGCCTGGAACAGATTCGTCAGGAAGAGACTATCGACCCAGAAGAGGATATGAACAAATTAGATGATAAAGAACTAGCCAAAAGGAAGAGCATCATGGATGAGCTCTTTGAAAAGAACAGGAAGAAGAAAGATGACCCAGATTTTGTCTACAATGTTGAGGTTGAGTTTCCGCAGGATGAGCAGCTAGAGTCCTGCGGTTGGGATGTGGAATCAGATGAAGAAATCTGATTCTGGACAAAGATTTCTTAGAGGGACAGTTCAAAGAGAAAATCTGCATTTCTCACAGAGGAAATAACATTCATCTATCACTTACTTACTTTTCATTTCAATCAGCTTCGGCAGAAAATCTCACCAGCTTGTATTGCCATGATTTCTGTTCACTTCATCTTAAAAAGAACTGTTAAATATTTATATCTTGAAAGCAATGTTCAAATTTCACTGCATAGCTGTGATATTTATTGTTGCTTATTGGAATGCTAAGTATACATTACTCTGTTTTCTGGATAAATCAACCTTGCAATGAGAATATTACTTTCACAATTTCCTGAGTTGCAGGGAAAGGGGGAAGCAGGCAACAACCTAGAGGCCACCCAGCCCTTTCTCCATCCAGGGTCTGTTTTCCAGCAACTTTCCCAGGTGATCCTTATATCCCCCACATCTCTTTACCTTCACCAGGTGTTCCTTGTTAACATCTAATGGTCGGCCTCAGAAAATCCTTTAATCCATCAAGTAATCAGCATTATTATTTTCATCCCTGGCCAACCTTTCTTCCTATTCCTACACTGAGCGATGCTCAAATCTGCAGCCACTGGTTGCACAAATAAAAGTTCTTATATTTAAGAAACAGAATGTTTAGAAATTAAGTTAGTCCTGTCAGTGCAGTTGAAGACACAATGGTTGTGAATTAATAAGCTGTTTTCCGTAAATTACTAAATTATTTTCCATCGGTACATGCTCAGCTCTGGGAAAATATGCTTGTGTTATCTGAGGAAAGCTGAACTGAGGACTCTCTAGAAAATTATGTGATGCCAGAAGCTTCCCACATTTTGACTTCCTGAACTTGGCTGGGTTGCGAGGGGTCTGAGAGGAGTCAGGGCCTTCATCTCGAGTTAAGTATCATCAACAAACAGCTGCTGGAGGTAACTAAAAAGAGGTGCAAATTGCTCCTGAGACTAATTCATTTCTTGCCTTTCCTCCTCCTGCAACAACAGATGGATTAAAACATAAAAAATAAGACTTTCATAGCATAGAAATTGCTATCTGGAATAGTTCTCTTCCCACCAATGGAAATGACAGAATCAGTCCTGTGGAAATCGTAATATCATAATTTAAATCAGGGTGCTCTGGAGCAGATGAGTGAGCTTAAGTTTGTCCAGGGCAGTCTTTATTTCAGAAGAGAAACAAAAGTTAATGTCTCATTTGCCAAAAATTAACAAAATAAACCCTGATTCATGTTGTTCACTAATGGATGGCACAGGCATATATCTGACACAATCGATTCTTTCTCCAGTCCAAAACTGTACCATATCAGTGTAAGAAGATCTCGATGCAGACACAGTGGTAGGTCTTGGTGAGTTCATCTCAGTATTGTTCATCTGCTGGTGGTCAGCACAGAAACTCAGTTCAGTGAGGGAGACCTCAGACACTGCTGTTTTAGGCCGTGGACATTACCTACTCTCAGGAGGTCACTTCAAGCACAAGGCAGCAAATTTCAGGACAGTTAGAAAGGCAGCCTGAGTTTGTGTAGAAATAAAGATGCTGCAGCAACAGTTTACAGGAATTATAACTGCTTTAGCCTTCTTTTTTTTTTTCCCAGAAAAAGGATAAAAACTGTTTCCAGCACTTTGGATGAAATTCCCAGCTGCTGTTTGTGTATCCCCAACTATGATGCTATGTCTAGGATCATTGTAGTCATATCCTTATGCTAGAAAATGTATATTCAAAGGGAAAGTTCAGCGTAAGAGCAGAAAGCCAAACTCTGTCACTCTCAGGGATTCTGACAGGCCACAGCAGGACTTTTCATCTCTATTTTTTCCCAAGTACCCATCCTCTTCTCTGCTGCTGCAATGTTTGGTAGAAGGAAATAATCCACCAGTGTACTTTAGTAGCTGTTTGGTGTCATTACACATGCGTCTGGGTATATTAGATGTCTTCCTTCCCTGAAGATGATTTAGTGCTTTCTGCTTCCCGTATAGACTCTCTGGTGGTGAGGGAGACATTGGGACTTCCTCGGGCTGCAATTCCGGTAGCATCTGACTCCCCCTTGAAGGACTGTGTTGAGATCTTTCTTTCTTTTTTTTTTTTTTTTTTTCCTCTGCCCTGTTAAACAAGCTGAATAAAAACCAGAGTGTTTCCCCAGGAATGCTTATTCTTCATGTCAAGACTTAGATACAAATACTTTGAGGTTAAACAGCACTCGTAAAAGACTTTAAATTGAATGTGTTTTGATAACACTGAGAGTTTTTTGGTGTGGAAATGTTCCCTGGTGTTTGGTTTGAAGCCCAGGCTTCATGTTTATCAGTTGCTGTAGAGACACTGAAAACTCCTTCATAAGGGATGTCTGTAATGGATGATCTAAGTGGAGTTTCTCATTTCAGGCTAACCTTTTGCTTTCTACCTGGAACTTTACAGAATTACAGTTTCACCAAAATATACATTATTATGTCCATCCTTTGTGCCAAACACTGGCTCCATTCTAGCTGCAAGTCATCTAAACCAGCTACACTGCACTGCTCCTCAATGGCAGAGGGAACACATGCATCGTCCGGAGCTGACACCTCAGCAGATTTATGTGCCCAAAACTTGGGAGACCACGAATCGAAACACAGCATAAAGGCAAAGAGCATGAGGCTGGGTAGAGAGGTAACAGCAATTGCATGGAGAAAAATGTAAGGAAGAAAGAAAAAAAGAAAAAGCACCATATTAGGAAAAGCTTCGTGGTGCAATGCGGGACTTATGAAAATAGCTCTGTTTTACATTCCAGGAACTCATTTGGACAAGGCCTTAGGGAACGTCCGAGGAGGCTTTGATCCCCGAACTATGCACGCAGAGCTTGCGGTGGCTGTTTCCTCCCCCAGCTCCTCTAAGGCTCCGAGGGACTTGGAGAGAGTTTCCTTGCTGCAGCACTGCTACATTAGTGGGGAGA